TTAATAAAACTTAGTTCGATACGTCACCAAGAAAATGAATGTCAAGATTACGTTAAAAATGGCGTCATCCATATTCGGGCGACGTTGCAGTCAAAGTGTCAAATGTTCACAGACTTCATCAACAGAATGTTTAATTATCTATAAACTTTTTACATTTCGAATAAGTGTCATCATTGGGTTTGGTAGAACAGAAACTCTTAGCTGTGTAAAAGCAGCAATGTTAATAGAGATCGAGTCGTCTTGACAACAAAGGAAATATCGAAACATACTAATAACAAAGAATCTCTGAATCCTCCATTTGCAAATAGGAAACAAATGATAAATAACTCTCGACACGAGTGCAGACTGGATTCTCATTTCCATCAAACTCACTCACCCTAAACACGTTTCACAGATTAAAGCTACCGTCGAATTCCCGGGGAAATCGAAGAAAATCAATGCGCAGAGTTGCGTCATCAGTTTTCTGGCGTTCGTTCGCCGAGGTTAACCGATCTGCCCGATGAATGGCTCGTTTCTCTCCGTCCCGACGCCACATGTGAATGTACAAACATATAATGGTCCGATTGTTCGACGATCGCTTGCTCGCTCGCTCGGAACAGAGCTTACAAAAGAAGGAACAATGCGCTCGGCGCGTATCCAGTGGGAAGATACAGATATCTAGTTAACGAGAGAGAGAGGAGATCCGCGCGGGGTTCGTTTAAAATTCTGGCTTCGGCTCTTTCGTCGCCGTTTAAGCGTATCACACGTCAAGACACCCGACGGCCGATCCAATCGGCTCCCTCCGCTGTTTCCCTTTCTCGTTCGCTTCGCGGGCGACGGGGAAACGAGCTCGCGGCTCCTTTCACCTTTCACCCTTCCCGGCGACTTCGTCCCCGACCTCCCCTCTCTCCGTTTTCCTCTAAGTACATACACATCAGGGGGTTCGTTTCTGTCGTCGGATGTGCTTGGCCATTTAAACAGTGGATACAACGTGTGTGGGCACTCACGGCGCGCTAACACGGTACATTGGTACGGCTCGGGAGTGATATAATTACGCAATTCGTCGGCCGGACTGGCAGAGGTTCGGACCTACGGACACGACGACGCTAAACATGGCCGTCGCGCCGGCCACGCGCGGACCAGTCGGCTCTCGGCCGCTCGACGCTGCTGCCTGCTAATACATTCCCGCGAGAGGGAGAACATCCGTACCGACTAGCCGATCGAACCGAGTGAAATCGACACCAAAGTGGCTGACCAGTCGACACTGGCAGTGACTGTGAGCGACGGCATTGATGCTTGGAACTCTGCGGTGCGAAGCTGTTGCGCTTGATAGCTCGTTAAAGGTATATTATCTCAGACTTTGAAATGGACGAAGGTTTTAGAATTTGATTTCTCAGTTTCTTCGGGTCACTAGATTCTGGAGATTCTCGAATTATTCTGATAGCTCTGAATTTTCATATCAGTAGGGACTCGATAAATGTTTGGAATCGTATTAAAAATACAAGAGCTTCGGTTTGTCAGAGACTGAACAATGCAAGCTTCAAGAATCAATGTTCGATAGATCGCAGTCACGAGTAACCGTATACAACGTAAGAAAATTTGCTCTCCGACAGTTTCGGAATCGATTCACTCCGCCGGCCGTTTTGTTACAAATTTCCGCTCGCATCCCGCGAGGTCTTCTCCGCGAACATTTCGCGTTCTTTTTATTCTAGGATGAAAGATCTATACACATCGACTAACGCCTCTAATCTCTTCCGTCCGTCAGTTTATCGTGTATTTTTTTCATTTGTATTTTCCTCGTTTTTATCGGTCAACGATATCATCTAACGGGACGCATCGCCGCGACAGTTCCTCGGCTCGTTATCGTCATTGCCCTCTATCAGCTTAACGACAGCATATTTACTCCTGCAACTACTAATACACTTACGGCGATACATGCGTTTACTTTCGAACAGTAACTTTCTTGTACACCTACGCGTAATACAATGTTTAGTGGTAATATTTAGAGATAACGGACATGTTTAGAAAATCTATCTCTCTTCCGTCGTACATGTGTCTCTGTGTGTATGTCTATGTGTGTTCTGCGTGTATGCTGCGTGTACTCGTAACGCTGGTATACGTATGAAACACGTGCGATCCTCATTTATCACGGAAACACCTCGACCAAACGGAAAGGATGTTTTCGACGAGAGACGCTCGACGTATCCGGCTCACCCTCTCTTATCGTAGTATCTACTTATCGTGTCGGCTCGTGTGTCTGTCGCAACGTGTATTGCTAGGAGATTCCGCCAAATTCCGAAACACGACGAAACAAAGGAGTAACGATCTTCCCAGTTGCAATATCGAATCCAAATCATAAATCTAAAACATTACGGAAAAAAACTCCAACTGAAACGGTTACCGGTTTCCTAAACACGACGTCCTATCTTACAGATAAAGCTACAACTATAAACAACGGTACCCCATAGCGTTTCGCTGTCTCCACAGAAAATAAAGGACGTTTTCATCGAATCTACCGTGGTCGCCGTGAGTACGCGCTGGCAGCGAACGCGTCAAAAGCGTGCTCGGGGTGCACGCGTGGGAACATTATCGATGATCAGTCTGCGAATGAACGGACGACGCGGGTTTCGCTCGCGGAGGAATTCCGTGTCTACAAAAGGGTTTCCGCGCCGGAGAAGATCGGCGCCGCGGGATTTGTAACAAAACTGGCTCCGCTCGCTGGTTCGACCGTGGCTCGCCGCCGACGAGATCCTCGTCCCCCCCGGCAGAACGTCGAGCCATCGCGCGGATCTTTCTTAAGTATCTGTTAGTGCACTTCGAGAACATCCACATTGGATCCCTATGTATACAATATATATAATATACATATATTTATATATCACTTCGCGACGCTGTTCTGTCGCCTAGCATCGCGCGAACAACGCGTCGAACGAGTCCTCGGCGTGGTTCCCCGTGAAGGGTTCACGGTGCTGCGCGTATCACGCTTCTCCAGTCTCCCGTAATGTACGCGTGTCTATGTGTATGTATGTATGATGTAAACGTACGCGTATTCGTGCGAATGTATTTCTCTCTCCGTTCGCTTCGTCTTTGTTCGAGTCGAATGTATTTATTCGCGTCGATCTAGGTAAAACAGCGAGACACGTTCGGAGGTGAATTCTCGCGTCTCCGATCTCTTTCAGCGGCGATCGGACTCGGACGTTGTCGGAAAATCGGCCCTACAATGGTTGCGTGATCGATTACAGGCGTATACGTGTGTGGTGATGTAGGTACTTTGGTTCTCTTCTCTCGTTCTCAGTGTTCGTCTCGTGAATCCTTTCGGTTCGGTGCTCGAGGAAACAAAAAGCGAAGAGGATTTGCTCGAAACTAGCGGGTCCACTCGGTAGATAAACAACGGACAACGCGGGGCTGAGATCGTCTCGGGTCCGAGCGTTTCCGTTAGAACACGGATGAACGGTATCGGTACAATACGTATTTTACTTCGCGAACCTACGCCCTAGGAGATTTGTTCGCGGCGGACATTTCTATCTACGGACAAGTAATTCTTACGTGCTTCTTCCCTCTCGATATGTTATGTGAAACGGAGCTTGGACTCGGTGACGTGTCACGCTTGACAAAACATCGTGGAAGGCATGAAACCGAAGATTGGTTCGTTCACGTGGTTCTTCGCTTGTTCCTCTTTCTCTATCTCTATCTCTCTCTCTCTCTTTCTCTCTCGCTTAAAGGATTACAAATACGACAACGCTACGAACGTCGTGCTACATATTCACCACGGGAACTAAGATCGTCGCTTTGAATCGCCCGTTTCCGTTCGCTTCCAGGGTTTATCCGGATATTCCTTGTTCCGGGTAGAAACGAAAACGAGGCGCTCGTGTAAACGGCGTGTCGCGTTCATGAAGACGAAGGAATTCACAGAAACAACTGCGAACGTTCCATTCCGGAACGGTTTATCACTTAAGTAAGGTTGCTCGGTTGCCTGTGCGCGTAAGATCAACAATTTCGTCGGTCCCGCTGGAACGCTCGTTCGCGGAAACGGAGCGTCGACTTTAATGCCTCGAACGAAACCGCTGTCTCCCTCGGAAGAACCTGTTTCGACGCAGACCGTGGACAAATTGTTTCTCTGGCTGTTCCCCGTTGAAAGCGGCGAGCAACGGTTTTAGCAACGAGAATGTTCGTTGGTGTCCCCTTTTCGGGCGGGTACAGTTGGTTCGTTAAATAATATACAATTAAGTGAAACGCGTCGCGCAATTTGATGCGAGATACAGCAGCTCCGTAGCAAAATATTTGTTCATACATTATGTACAGTGCGCGGGCGTCTTCATGAACGTGTATTCGTATAAAGTGTTCCGGAACTTCCCGGCCGAACTGTGTCACTACGTTCCCAGTAGAAAAATTAGAAAAAAACCCGGTACATATCAAAAAGGCTCGCGATAATAAGATCCTCCGTGGTCTATAGCCTACGTTCTCGCCGAAAGATACCGTATTCCCCGCGTACTTCGCATTCCACTCCTGAGCATCTCGATAAAAATAACTATTTCCCGATACCTGCTCGCGAAACATATTGCCACAAAGTAGCTCTAAAATTCCAGGACACTCCGGTGCATGTAGAACGAGCGGTGGGCAGTGTGGGCATAAAAGAAGTCGTCGTAAAAGATAAAAAAAGAACACCGGTCGACTAAGGTAACGATCAGCGTGATTCTCGGGCGAGCGCGTCCACGTTAATACTGTTATGCGTTCGTTTCTCGCGTATCCACGATGTGGACATTAAAAACAAGAAGAAGACGAAGAAGAGAAGAGAACGGAAAACAGAAAAGAAGAAAAAACAAACGCGAACGAAAAGCATCGTGTGATCGGACTCGAAGGAACGTATAACGGAACCGCGAAGAAACGGAAAAAGTTTCAATATTCATCGAACGCCTCGCGACGGGAGCCTCGAGAATGCTCGCATGCTCGGAAATTAAATGAACGTGTATGCGCGTGTACATGTGTGTCCTGCCGTTGTGTACGCGTATCGGCCCGCTGAATGATACCGCGAACATGTCCTTTCAGTTTCATGCCTTTCCAGCTGGACCGGACTGGACGAGCGTGTCTCGGACCGCGACAGAAGCGGAAGTACCGGGCCGTGCGCGCGCTCGTTAAATCCAGGATTGTTTCGGTGAAATGAGATCTCAGCTTCCATTCATTTACGGTTTAATACACGTTATCGCGACCGCGTTAGCGGATCCAGGCGCGTGTCTTCGCTCGACCGATCTCCCGCCAAGCAGGCGTTTACATGATTCTTAATAATGAGTGTGTGTCGTAGGCACGAACGCGTTCTTTCACCATCGGCACGTCAATTCCTATACTTTATCTCTCTCTCTCTCTCTCTCTCTCTCTCTTGCTCGCTCGCTTGCTCGCTCGCTCGTTCTCTCTCGCTCACTCACTCTCATTCTCTCTCTTTCTCTCTTTCTCTCTCTCCCAATCTTCCTTTCTACAATTTTTTTGTCTGTTTGTATTTTTCATACTCTTACGTTACGTGCAGTTCAGGTGCACAGGCGGACACCGAAAATTCGCCGGGTTTACATTGTCGTGAACTTGGCCGGGGGCCCGATTCGGGGCCCGCGAGTCCTCAGTCAACGGTGGACACCCGAGAGAGTTTTACAATACGCTGAGAAATTGGTTTTAAACATCGGCGTTCTGACGTACAACGATGTCCGAACCGACCAAACGGTGATCGTAGACGAGATGACAATGATAATCATAAACGGTAATGATGATAATTATAATAATAATAATAATATTAATAATAATAATAATAATTAATAATAATAATAATAAAATAATAATACAATAATTGTGAGAATAAGGATAATAATTATAATGACGGTAATCGTAAAAGGAGAAAAAGGAAGGAGAGCAAAAGTTAATCGTGATAATAATCATGATAATAATAGTAATAATAATAGCAGTAATAATGATGGCTGTGTGGTGGTTGAATTCGATAGCGGTGCCGGCTGCGCTTCAGCCGCCTGCTGCACCGTGTCATCGTGGTGTGCAGCGTCGGCGACGGATCACGTGGAACAACTGGCCGACGACAACCGGCGCGCAGCGGCTTGGCTGGCCTCCATTTCCTGTCCGGTTCGGGTCCAGCCTCTTTGGCCGCGCCGATGATCCTCCGACCGTCCGCCGTTTCGACGATCCCCACCGTCGCGGCGACACGCTCCTCCCCGTCGGCTTGATCCGCACTGTTACACGCGCACTGTACTGCCCCCCCAAGACCGACGACAACAGACAGTCACTTTTGCCTTCCACTTTTCTTCTTCTTCCGCTTGAAGAAGCAACAGCATCTGTAAAAAAAACCAACACTAATAGGACTTAGAGTCGTCTTCTTTCGATCGCCTTACGCTAGGACACCAACATGCAGCACGACAAGGGCATACGGGAGAAGAGAGAGAGAAGGGGGTGGAGGGAGGGCACGCACGCATTCCAATAAAGCTTGTTCTTTCTCAAACCGATTCGCTAGAATGGCTAGTGGCGTGGTGTGTCCAGACGCAGACCCGATACGTGAGGCTTGTGTAGAATAGAAGTAGAAAGGTGAAGGAGAGAGACGGTCGGATCCGTGGAGGCTACGGCAGTGGTTCAACAGGATCAGCCGAGTGGCTCCTTCGAGACAATTCAGGCGTACCGACGGCCGGACAGACTAATACAGTATCGCCACCGTAACCTGCGGCAAGTGGAAGTACTTGCCGAGACGTTTCGAAGTAGTAAATGCTACTTTATTTCTATTATTACTCGACAAGTATGATTCCCTTTTGACTAGGTGTCCGCTACGATTAGGTCAGGCTAGACATGTGACGCTACAAAGCGCGACGTTACGGGGGAATACTGTATTTGCAGGAGATTTAATGTACTCGATGGCCCATTGTAAACGAGGATGTACAAGTTGAACATGAATAAACCATTATCATTTAAATATCGATTGATTAACGTTTGTATTGTATACTTGTACGCAAGTAAATAAACAAAAAGAAAAATCGAATGGTGATACCCGCGTGTAGTGTACAAAATATACAAATACTTGTTTCGCATGAGATAATTAAAGCTCGACGATAAATCCGGAGAATCTAACGTTGCCTCGAGTCAGAACCGCATGTCACTGCTCGGATGGAGGTATACTTAGTGCGTGAAGATTATGGAACGTTATATTTCGCTCGTATGTTACATAGAAGGAAATTCTGTAACGGCCACTTGTACTGGGCTAGTGAGCCAAATTCAGGAATTGATCTGGGATGAACAGTGGACGTAGGAGTGCGTAAACTTCGGCGCAGGAGCTTTCCGCATCCGCGACAACGCTTTTTCGTAGACAAAGATTTGGTTCTGAAATAGGATAGACAGGAGATTTTAACATGTATCATGCAGAAGATTCCAGTTAAAAGTATAAAAACCCTACTGCAAGGGAGACAACTACATTCTATGTTGCGGAAAATCTTGTCCAGTCAAGGTCACGGGGTTGTTCAACAGCTACAAACATTGAATGGGGAAATGGGCGTGGCAACGCGCGTTGATGGGCGTGGCCGGGCTGGTTAGAGCAGCCACGCCCAGTGACCTTGAGCAAACAATATTTTCTGCTCCCAATATGAGTACCATTGTTACTACCTTTCTACCCAGTTAGTGTACACTATTAGTCATTAATGTTCGACAATGGAGGTATTACCAATGAAACAGACGGAGATATGCAAATTATACTCGCTGGATCATTTCATTTAATGAAAAACATACTGCAAACAATATAATCCATTAAATATTATATTCACACATTTCATTGAATACGAGTTACAGATGGTAACCCGAATAATTTCCATATCTCCGCGAGTTGTACATGCAATATTTACAGAATATAAGTCGCATGAATATTAATTGATCGCAAGATCGTGTACCCCGTTGGTCAAGAGAACCACGCAACAAAATACTGGCAAGAACAAACCGGTGCGCAATCACTACGACCTGTTAGATCGCTAAAGAAATAAATGAGCAAATCGATTAATACTAACTTGGTTTCGTCGACCATGTCCACCTCTTGCGGCGCGGTGATTGGTGTGTTCGAGTGTCCTGCGGTGGGATCGTCGTTCGCCAACTCCCCGTTCGTCGAGGACACCACCTAAATATACAACGAGACCCATCGTTAGAACGATTTCCGTGTGCTCCGCGCGAGTATCACATAAACAGGACAAACTATGTATATATATATGCAGACTTATATGTATATTTATAATACTTTAAATTACTGGAAAACATGACGATCAAATTGGGATTCTGTACACCGTGATCCGAAAAGTCTATGGTGACGGGGGGAGAGAAAGGAGCTAACTACACACGTGATACACAAATACACGTATTTACGATGGAGGTATACACATAAATACAAAAGAAAAACAAAAATAGACGAGTCATCTAAGTCGCAAGGAACCAGATAATAAGTTTACATGAGACAAGCGGCGCTTCGTAATATATAGTATTCGTGAGACGTTCTCGATACGGACGAACTGAAACTCTAAGACGTGATGTAACTAATCAAGCTCGGTTAATATAAGTCACTCTCGAGTTAAAGATTAGAGAACAAAACAAAGGAGAAGAGAAAAAAGAAAGAACCACACGATTCCCGCGATCGGCATCGCCCCCTTTCGATTTCTTTGTTCTTTTCTTTCTTTCTCGCCGCCGCCGCCGCCGCGAGAACGCGCCAGCGGTTTGGATTAGTGGCGGTAAACAATCGGCCGTGAGTCGATCAACGACACAAAAGTCAACATGCTGCAACAAACCAACTCGCAACCTCTGAACTGACCATAATCCAATGGCGCTTTGCCTAGAAATAGAGCGGGCAGTCAACAAACTGTTCGAACGCTCGTTTTGCGTCATCTTCCTGGTCGAGACAGCGGGAAGTTAAGGGAACCAGAGTGAAAATGGAGGAGGAGAGAGCTCGTATGTACTCTAACTCGCGCGCGTCGATTATTTTTATCTTCCAGAATCGATCGCGGAACGATGGGAACGTAAATCTTCGGTCGAAACGAGTTCTGGCGATTGTGGGACGTGATCACAGATTTCTGCCGCGAACACTGGAGAAGTATTATTATCGAGATCAAAAGCTTGTATTCAGTAATGAACGTCACCGAAAACTTTCCTCGCTGCAACGGTGAACAATTAAAACAAATATTCCGCTGGAGAGAATTTATGGTATGAACATAGAAGATAATCAGATTTCTGCCATGTTGGCAAACTTTTCCCTTTTCTATTAGCTGCAGCAGATTTTGCACTCGAAATTCACCCTCTTGCAAATCAAGTACTCCCACGTATATTCCATTGAAAAGCATCAAACGTTAATTGGTTACTAGTAAATCAAAATTTGATTACAAACAGGTATATTACAGATTTATTTATTATTTATTATATATTGAATAAAATATATATTAATACTTAATTTTCAAAGGGTGAACTTATAGTGCAGAACTTATATGACACTAGAACTACCGTGCCAGTCAAAGTGGTTTTAATTTTTCTGTTCCGTAATTATTGATACCTCGAAATCTAATATTCTCTTAAATACTGTGGTAATTAGCAAAGTTACACAGCTAAGTGTCTTTACATAACGAGATTTCTCGTTACCGGTACGCAATACGTTAACACTAGGACTACCGTACCAGTCAAAATGACTACTTTCAATTTTTGTTTCGCGATTATTGATATCTTCAAAGCATTGAATATTCGAAATGATTTTGAAAATAAATAGCTTCATTTAAATACTATAATGAACGTCTGAAGAAACTGAAAATAATCTATTGTTACAATTTTTATGGATTATATATTAATCGTATTAAATACGGTAGTTCCAGCGATAATAAATTAAACTACATTCTCCTCAATACTCTCTCGTATACACCACCAAAAATACCTATTCTTATCGAGATCTTCGGAAGCTGCTGTCCGGTAATAAAAATCTCGCGGGGATTTCCCGATTCCATCTCCGATTTCAGCATCCGCCGAACCCGTCACC